ATGTTAACATTAATGATTAAAAGCCTTTCATTATAAATTTCATGTTTTTTTTAAAGACTACATAATTAAATAAAAATTCCAATAAAGGACTAAATAATGGAATACTCAAAAAAAGGAAAAAAAGTTACAATTCCCTAAACCTGTTGCATCTATTTTCTTATTCATAACAGGGGAATATCTACTTTGCAAAGTTTTGAGAATTAAACATGTCTGTAACAGTTTTATAAGTTGCCAAGTACAGTAAAATGTAGAGTATTATTCAATTTAACAAGCTCCTATGTAAAAGTTGTACCAGAAGGTATAAATTACTATAATTCTAAAAGATTTACCTTAAGTAAATAATATTTAGAGATTAATAACTTTTCTTATAAGTTTCAAATCTAATAAAGCAACCAGATGAGAGTAACTACTACATACCAACAGCTAAAAGGATCCAACAAAGTTTAAAAAAATTCTCGAAATACATTATCTCCTCTCACAAGTCTAATGATAATAAAAACAAATATTTTCATGCAATAACTCAGGAAATCAGGTGAAAAAAAAAACAGAAAATATTTAAAATTGCATACCAGACAGATCTAGAGACTCTCATTAGGTACGTATTAAAAACATAGTCTAAAAAATACAAATGAGTACAAATTTAAACATTTAAGAAAAAAGCAAAAGGCTAAAACTTCAGTACCATCTAAGATTAATACTTTACCTGCAGATCCTCACACAAAAAGATAGATTCTTGAAAACTAATTCGGTACGTCTTTAGGGCTTTTAACTTTCCCTTCACCCTACAAGCAGGGCAATACCCATCTGACGGGACTTTAGCTGAATCATAATCCTAAAAAAGAAATAAAGTATATTAAAATATAGACATTCCTAGATTGTATCTAGTTACAAAAAGTTAAATGGAAAAGTAACCAGAAAAAAATATACAATTTTCACCTAGAAGTATCCTGGCAAGATAGCTTAAAGATGGCAAATAAAAGAAATGCATACAGGCTTTAAGTATAGCTATTGCTCCAAAAATATATATATTCTAGTTTCAAATATTAAATTAAGTATTAAGAACAGCATCAGTTTTATTTGCAAGAAAAAAAGTAATGTCAACTGCCAGGGAAAACGTATGTTCAATATATTCAAATAGTAAACCATAAGGTCTATGTTTTATTTCTACTCTCACGTATCAATAAAACATAGAGAGGTAAACACAAAATAATCTTTCGCCATTACTGTAAGATTTCCGTGGAAGACACAATTTTTTAGAAACTGGTAAAATTAAAACTGAATTTAAGTCTCAAAAATAGAAGGGAACAAACCAACTTTGCACTGAGGCAAAAAATAAGTTCACTAACTTTTCCCAAATACCCCACCATGTGGAGTGAAGATATCCCTATATCAGTCCCTGGTCCAATCACTGGCAAACCATTTCCAATCTTCGGGGAATCCATCATTCCGAGTCACTGGCTAATTTATTTCACTTGAAACATGTCAATATCACTAAGGATTTTTCAATGAACCCTGGAAAAAAGAAAAGTCAACAGACAATTAAATAAAAATCCTATTTACTTTGAAAAAGAGTTGTGCTATTTTATGAGATGTGTATATATTAAGTATATTTTGACAACCATATATGCTAGGTTAAGCATATTCTGAATTGTAATCTTGCAGTGAAAACAAAATACCTAAATTTATTTGCATATCTAGCAAATTCGTGGGAAAAGGGCATAGACTGGCAATAGGACCAGTCTTCATAGCAAACTCATTTGTAAGCAACTTTATCAAAACTTGTAACAGAGGTATCTATTATTTAAATAGTAAATATTTAAAGTGAACTATATTGACCAGAGTTTGAAAACCTAAGTTTTTAGTCTATGCACAATTTGAAACAAATGTCAGCATTATACTAAGAAAGTACTTAAAAAAAAAACAACCCAGATCCATTGTGTCATTATTGACAAGGACAAAAAAATTTCATACATTTCTACTGCTTTCAACTACCAAGAATACATCACCAACTGAGAAAAGTGCTACTTTTTACAAGCTGCCAACAAAATACTACTTTATAAAGTAAATAATCTGTAACTGAACAAAAACACAAACACTATCAGATTACAAATTATACATGTAACAAGCACATTTTGAGCGTAGTCCCATGGAGGAGAATCACATTCAGTAAAGTCAAAATTATGAGACTGAAGTTCAGCGTAAAGGAAAAGTAACTGTTAACAGCAGTTTAGATATGGATTTAAAATACAAGGAAACTAAATAAAAGAGACCTTTAAGCATTTAAGTGGTAAATCACCATTCGTAGGAATGCTGTGAAACAACTTCAAGCAAAAGTCTTTCCCACATCAATTAATCCATGATGCTACGACAACCACCTCCTAGGAAACTGGGCCTCAGAGATTCACTTCAGAACTAGCGATGCGACTGTTTCAGCTGTATAAACTTTACGTACCTTTCAAGCCAACAGATAATTTCAGAAACAAAAATGCTTTTTTAGAAAAGTATCAGTGAGCCTCAATTTGCTATTCCCAAAGAAATATCCATAAGCAGGGTTTCTCCATAATAGCATCATAGACATTTTGGACCCGATAATTCTTGTTCCGAGGGCTGTCCTGTGTGTTGAGGCCCTTTAGCAGCATCACTAACCTCTATGTGCTGGAAGCCAAGACACCCACCCCTCAGTTGTGACTATGTCTCTAGACATTTCCAAATGTCCACATCCCTCCACCTTACTTCCCAGGAGGCAAAACTGTCCCAATGAGAACCGCTGTCAAAAGAGTAAAAACAAGTTTGGTGCTAACTTTCTTTTTTAAGCTCCTCACAGACAACACCAATTTGTTATCTCTGGCTGGTTCTATTTAAAATTTACTTATAAAGGAGACCTATATAGAAAAAGTCAAACTTCTATGGTGCCGGAGTGGCTAAAAGTATGAGCTTTAGGTTCAGAATTTATTTGTAAAATTGGTTTGTCCTAAAAACTAAATGCGATAATAAATGTAAAATGCTTAGCATCTGACATGCAGTAAATTTTAACTACTATTTGGTGCTAATTTTATACTTTTTGCAGAAAATACTCGGCACATCTTGTATCATTCTGTAGTATTCTCAAAAGAAAAGTTGGTAAGCTAAGTATTATGAATAAATTGTTTTTGATGAAAATTTCCATCTGCCTGAGGGCTTAAGAAAACTTTTCCGGCTGGTTCTCTCCCTTTCTCTCTAAACTACAATAGTAAAACATGAGGAGCCTTCAAATCTGCTCTCCTGATCCCACCAAGAACAGGTACGTTGGTGGTTGAAATCCTGAATATGTAGAACCCCCCAAAAGAAAATTCGCTTAATAAAATACCAGAAGTGGGCTATTCAGGTCTTCTAAATACAATTTACTTTGTCCCATGTAAAAATCCCTAAGGTGATTCTTACAACTTAATTTGTCCCTAAATGACTGCCTTCATTGCCCTCCCTTTCAAAAATTACCTGCTCCTCCTGATTGTATCTCGCCTAGATTCTGGCACCTCCGACCTTCGAACACACATGCCAGACAATCTGAGTGGTTCTCTACGCTTTTACTTCTCTCTCTTTTACTTAGTAAAAGTTATCAAATTCTACGGACAGTTTTTTTGGAAGTGTGTCAAATCCCCACCTCTTTCCATTCCATCCCCACTCTGTATCACTGCCAAAATGAGGCTTCTATAAAACAAGCCTGAGTCTGTTGCTGCTCAGCTTAAAATCGTCAATTGATTCCAATCTGATTATAGGAAAGTCCAAATATCTCAGTATGACCTGAGGTACTGCTATGACCTAAAACTCATTGCACTGTGAGCCCACTGGCTTTCAGTCTAAGCCTCCTCTCCTCCACTTCACCCCCGGCACTTTTTTTTTTCTGACGCGCCCCCCCCCTTTCATTACTTTCGTGGGCCACTGATGCTCCAAATGCCCAAATGTGAACTACTAGCCCAGTATGGACCCAGTTACAGCACAATGAAAGCGTAAAGTTGGCCCTTGGAATAGCGAAAGAAGCAATTAAGCTTAAATCACAGTCCCGTGTGCAAAATGGGGAAACCCAGAGAATCAGCTGTTCCAAGAGAGGCCTTATACCCCATTTGAGCTTTCCCTCCAAGACCAAGTGGGCTGTCAAAGGCGAGGTCACAACAGACTTGAAACCGAGGAATGGGGTCGGCTTTCGGCGCCCAACCCTGACTGGTACCCAATCCAGCTGCCCTGAATCACAGACCAACAGACGTCAATTTCAAAACCCGACCTTGGAAACCTGAGGAGACGCAGGGTTCCGTTAACTCTCCCCATTTCCACGCTCCTTGGGATAAGGAGGAAAAACAAAAAACACTCTGGTTTCTCTTCAGCATTTACCTCTTCGAGTCCAAACGATATCTTATACCTTAATCACCAAGCCTTCCCACCTGAACCTAGTCCCACCCTTTTTCCCCTCCCAGCCTAGCCCATCCTTTCAGAGCAGACTACTCCATAAGTCACCCCAACTCTGTCCCTTTTCCCTATTTCGGGTGCTGAAAGACACTACTAGGTCTTCTCCCTTACCTGCCGCGGGCCCTCCCTTTCCTCGCACCGGGTCGCTCCGAACTCCCGTTCCGGCTTGAGCTCCACACCAGAGTGCAACGTTCAACTCACGTTCCCCTCAGCCTACTCCTCCCCCACCGGCCCCTCCGCTAGGAAAGCAGCTTCCGGTTTCAGTCCGCGGCTAAAGAGTTCCCCTTCCTGCTCCGAGCGGAGGCTGAAAGGACGTAAGCACCTCGGGGAAGGCAAAGACGGGTGCACTTCCGGCGGACCTCCGCAGAGAGGCGGGGGTGTCCGGCCGGCTGCCGCAGCCGCAGTTTCAGCTGCGGCGACGACTAGGGGCGGGGCCGGTGGCTGCAGGACCCGCCGTCTGTGAGTGGCTGGGTTTGGGGAGGCGACGATTCTGGAAGCTGCTGGAAAGCGCTCGAGTGGCGGAGGTGACGCCGGCGGCCAGGGGGTGGGGCGTGAATAAAACTAGTGCGCGGCCGGCAGCGGAGGGATTACGCTGTGGAAAGAGAGTGGCGCGCGTCGTGTTGCGCCCTTGTGGCGCGAGCCCGGGTCGGAGGGCGACGCGTCCCTGAGTGACTTGGGTGGGTGGGTGGGCGTGCGAGGAGGGACGGGCTCCCCAGCCGGCCGAGGTGAGAGGGAAGCTCTTAGCCGGCGCCTCCCTGTAGTGCCAAGGTCTCCGTGACGGCGGGCCGCGCAAGGCCCCGAAAGCCCGCTCTCCTAAACCCTCGGTGAGAGCCGAGCTGCCACAGAGCGTGTTCACAAAGGGTCACCACACACGGAGCTGCCCCTCCCCGTCTCCCTAAACCCCATCTGCGAGGCCAGGGGCTTTTCCACCAGGATTCTGGGTGTTCCTCCTCCTTCCCTCCCTCCCAGATCTTCTAACGGTAAGGGGAGTAGCCAGAGCACAGGGACTTTGCTCTCCAGGACCCGTTCTTACTAGTCAGCAGCCGAGGGGTCCCTGCTGCGCTAATTTCAGTTGCCCTGCCTTGTTTTAACTTCAGAGCAAGGGGTAATTCTCCTGTAGTTTATAAGTTTAAGGCTCTGCTTTCGTAGGAAGGTCATGTGTTTTAAGGGACATCGTGACCGCGGGTGCTATTTCTGAGTCTGCATTCTGAATCTTGGGGGCAGCATATTCCAGAAATCCTTCGCTCGGTTGGTTCTGTGTCTTAGAATAACAATATGTAATTTCTGACCATTTCTTTACAGAATAACCACCGTTGGCATTTTGGACTGTTTTTTTTTTTTAAGTGGTTTCCAACTAAATAATTATATTCTGGAATAATGCTGATAATTTTGTTAGGGTGGTGTAGAGGAAGTTAAGTCCCGTATACGGAGAAATTCTTCACTGAAAATGATTTTAGTTTTCAGTACTTCTGAATGCAAATAGCCAAGAAATGCAACAAGGAGTTTGTTGTTTTTCTCCAAACTGAAAAATAGGCTGGTTAGTCTTTGTTTAGCTTTGTTGTTGTGCTAGATTACTAATGTGCTGGTATATTTGTTGTGAGCTCTAGCTCGTTAGGTTTTTGTTTTCTTATTTTAATGAATTATGATGAAAATATGAGAATGTAGTATTTCGTCATCAAATATAGCGCAAACTCAGAAGGTTTTTCTTTTTCACCATTGCTGTTTTCATTTTTGGAATGGAATACACTTTTTTGTAATAAACACTTGCTGAATGTTAACCTCATATGTTGAACAAAATCATTGATTCTTTTAAAATGTAGCTAAAATTTTAAGATTGAAAAATCAGTATCGCCAAACTGAATGACATCAAACATCGTTGTCTGCAGAGTTAATTTATAGTCTTAGTGCAAATTTGCTTTTTTTGCTAGGAAAATATGATGTGAAAGTAACAGAAACAAAATGGAGCTGGGGCTTGGGGTGTGGAAAGCAAAGTGTATTTTAGCGTGTGCTGTGTTTAGATTCCAGAGCTTTTCCCCTTATAAAAAGTAGGAAAAGGCATATAAGACTTTATAATATTAAAGGAAGGGTCCTAATACAGAGCAATCAATCAGGAGAGGTTGACTAGAAAATTCCCCTTTCGTTTATTTTAATGATCCTAAGTTGGGAAAATTGTATACATTTCTGCTTACTCCTCACCAATATATTTAGAATGCCTTTCTGTGAACATTGGTCCCCCCAAAAGTGCAGTTGCCCTCCACTAGGATTCAAGCTTATTGCTTCCATTACCTTTGCTAGCAATTTGGGACAGGAGTTTTATTTACCTGTTTTCATTTAAAACTAACGTGATTAATCAAATACAGCTTTTTAAAAAAAATAATAACTACTGAGCAGCTACAGTAGAAATACAGTGTTGTTCAGTTAGGATTTTTTTCTCCTCTTCCTGCAATGTCAAGTTTTGCCCCCCTATGCTAGATTGGATTCCTTAGTGACAGAACAAATCTGCCCAAACATGGAGTATAAAAGCTGCCTGCTATAATTGCTTGTTCTGGTCTCATCAAAAAGATGAGAGTAGAAGTGACTAACCATATTTTCTACAGCACCTTTGTGAGTACAGTCTATAATCTTGTATCTAATTTCAACATTCAGAAGACTTTGAAAACCAAAAACTTTTTAAGCCTGGGGACAAAATGCATTTGGTAGTAAAATATGGCCTGAACTAATGAGAAGTCATGTATCGTATTTATTTGTACCATATGTTTTGCTGAAGAAATATTAATATGTTTGATTATGGGATGCTGTCCTTGGCCACTGGTGTGTGAGGTATACATAATGGTTTGTGTACTTTGTAACATTTTAAAATTCCTAGAAATGTGAACCTATATTAACATTTTTGGCAGTATACTTGTGCTGGACATTCACATATTTAAAAAAATAACTTAAGACATTTTAGTTCTTGCCCTCAATGAATTCAGTTGAGTTAGAAGGATAGGAAAAAGTGCATTTATCATACTGTAATATGTGCAGTGATAGAGATATGCACAGCCTATTTGTAAGTATAGCCATATAGTGACCACACAAGACGTGAGTAGTCTGAGGGTTTGAGGTTATTTCGTTAATTTGGACTCCAAAATTTAGACAGAACATGACAACTCACCATGTAGCCTAAACTTAACTTGGCACAAAATGAGAAGACAAAATGATAAAGAAGAGTCCTAGGATAGATGTTGGAATTTCTGATTTCTAATCCTAACTCTTCTGCCATGCGACCTTACACACATCACCAAATTTTGAAGGCCTCAGTTTACAGATCTCACAGATACAGTGAGAAGTTTGGGATAGATGGAGCATTTAAGGAAGGTCCCTGATAGTTCTAACATTCTACCTATTGGTATTTACCCTGAGAGATATGCCTACTTTTTAGAAATGTTTTCCATTAAGAATGTGATCCTGTTTCATTGCAAACTACTTTCTTGCTGATCTTAATGTGTTTTCTTTTGGGTTAGGTAATACATTCACATGGTTTGAAATTCAAAAGGTAAAGAAAGAATACACAGTGAAAAGTCTTCCTTCCACACTGTCCCTCAGCCACCCAGTTCCTTACCTAGGAAACAGCCAGTGCTAACAATTTCCTGTATAATTTTTCCCCTAAAAATGTATGCATTTTCAAGCAAATAAGTATGTATATATGTTTTATTTCTCTTTTTTTACATAAACAGTACATATTGTGCATAGTTTATGTACCTTGTTTTTTCATTTATCTTAAAAGTTCTGTATGTCATTATGTATAGTGTTTCCTTATACTTTTTATGGTTGCATAATATTCCATCATATAATGTATCATTTCATCAGTCCTCTCTTTTTAGACATTTAGGTTTTTGTCTGATCTTATTAAGAGCATTATGTAATGAGTAACTTTATACATCATTTTCCACATATGTGAATATAACTATGCCCTAAACAGTGATACAGTTCTTTTGGGATAGAGATATCATTCATAAAATGTTATTTAGTAACTAATCATGTAAAAAATTGATAAATCTGGATGTACTGATTAATCTCAAAAGGATATTTCTAGGTTCCATCAACTTTGACTTAGTGTTCCCTGTGGCAGTATAATATGATGGTATAATAGACTCAATGTCCTATTTGGTTCTAAAGTAAACATGAGATAAATTGCATCACTTGAATCACCGTTTCTTCATTTGAGCTTCTTGTGCCCTAGATAAAACAAGTGGATTATGTGTAAGGAACTTGCCCTAAACAAACAAACAACAACAACAAATATATATATTTTAAACACTAAAGTCATACAGCTGAGTAGGATTTTCAGTGAGAGGCATGTAAAAGCTGAGCCTGTTTGATGTAACAACAGATGTGTGCTTTCCAGCTCATGCTCACTCCAGGGCATATGCTTCTTGAGTGCTATTTAAGTTGATATTTTCTTTTAAATTTTTTTGCTAAGCTCGTATAGCTGAATTTGTGTAAATTGCAACATTTATATATTCCCCCTTTATCAATGAGAAGATTAAGCCTAAAAGAAGTAAACAATTTACTCAAATTTACATAACAAAGTGGCAGATCTGGGACTAGAATCCACATCTTCTAATTTCTAATCCAGGACTCTTTCCAGTATGTGATTTGTTCCTAATTTAACATGTACTCCAGTAGATCTGAGATTGCCCAGTGATTAGGGTCTGCTTTAGGTACCTTTACTCTGCGTAGACTCTAGAGCAACATAGAGTTCCAAAAGCAGCAGTGGATTTTTCTGATGACGAAATAACATTCTATAAGTAATTGTTGAAGTAATCACATAGCATGTTGATTAGCAATCAGGAGGGCTCCAAATCAAAAAATTAAAGCTGATACAGAGAAACACTCTTTCTTAATTGGGACAGAGTTGTCACTTTGAGATGAATTTATCAGTCAAAAGGACTAAAAGGAAATTAGGATTATTTGGAAGGAATCTTACATTCCCCGTAGTTAATGCCTCATTTAATTTAGCTAGGAACATCTAAACCATCAGAAAAGGAGAAATGGTGATAGAAACAATAGCAAAAGAACTGAAAAATAGAAGATTGAGAAATGTGCTATAACTATATGCCCCTGAAACTGGCATTGCAGCACATGACCCCCACGCACATCTTTAGGGCCTTTACTACTGACTGTTGTTTTGTATAACCGAGTCTTATCCTTGGTTTCAGCTTAAATTTCGCTTGTCAAGCTGTCTACCCTACCTGAGCAGCTCTTTACCCTCCACCCCAACTCTAATATTTTATTATCACTTGCTGTTTGTTTTCTTCATAGCATATATATATTTCTTACTATCCATCTTCCTACTGGGTGTGAGCTTTGTGAGGGCAAGGACTACATCTATTTTGTTTCATGTTTATGTGTACAATATATATATTATATATATATAAATGATGTATAAAGAGCCTCAGTTTTT